AACTGACAACAACAACAAAAAAGTAAAATAAAATAAATATGAGAGAACATAACCTATAGTTTAGGTTTTGGTGCTTTGTTGATAGTAAACATGCTATATACCATCACTGGTTAGTGTTAACAATTAAGATTTATTATGATAAACTGTACTATTATTGATAGGCAAGCCCTTAAAAAAAACTTAGTTTATCTTGATGAGAGTGATGGAAGGAGTGACATTATCGAAAAAGAAATGTGCTTTTGGCCAGGTGCTGGCGGCTCATGCCTATAATCCTAGCTACTCGGGAGGCTGAGATCTGAGGATTGTGGTTTGAAGCCAGCCTGGGCAGGAAAGTCATGAGACTTTTCTCCAATTAACCACCAGAAAACTGGAAGTAGCACTGTTGCTCAAAGTAGGTAGAGCACTAGCCTAAAGGAAAAAATCTCAAGGACAGTGCCCAGGCCAGGAGTTCATGCCCCATGACCAACAATAAAAAAGAAATGAACTCTTTACCTGACTTATGTAACTGTAACCTCTCTATAATCACCTTTATAATAAAAAAAAATTAAAGAGAAAAAAATACTAGTTTAGTAAGCATTTGGAAAATGTTTCTGCATAATATAGTAATATACTAATAATAAGTTACTAAAAAAGAAAAAGTCCTTTGGCCTTTTTTTCTTGTATTAATAAAGAGATATTCTTTCTCTTTCTGCTTCTTCCCTCCCTCCCACCCTTCTTCCTTTCCTTTCTTTTTCTTTTTCCTTATCTTTTTCTTTTTCTTTTTTTGTCCTAGAGCTTGAACTCAGGGCATGGACACTGTCCCTAAGCTCTAGCCTGATTTATTGGGCTGAATGGTGGCCTAGTGCTCGACCAGCACTTCTGGCCTTTGGGTCGTTAATTGCAAGTAAGTCATACAGATTTTCCTGCACAGGCTGGCTTCAAACTTCAATCCTCAGATCTTAGGCTCCCGAGTAGCTAGGATTATAGGCATGAGCCGCTGGCACCTGGCGGGAGATTTCTTTAGATGGGGAGGTAGTAGGTCTGCCAGTTCTCTCGTCTGTAAGTAGACATGGTAACTAATGGGAGGTATGAAGAAGTGGTTACTCATTATAGCTGCTAATTACCTTAACTTCATTTGGCTGATAGAAATTTGTACATACACTGCCTTTACTTTAGAGCAAGAAAATGTAACAGCTGGGGATCTAATTAAATTGGGAAGTGAGGCTGTATGTTTCATCACACTGTATGTTCTCATGTGACTGAGAACTGAGATCTGCTGGTTCTTTGAAATAATATGGTGTCTGTTAAAGCTTATGGGTAAATGTTGTCTCTTGTAGGTACTGAAACAGGAAGATTTCGTTCAGATGATTTTATTGGCAGCATTATATCTAGGACTGCTGCTTCAAAAGAGCGGAATTTAAATATAAAGCTCCCAAACTACTATGTAATACAGTTTGTTTTCCATTAACAATAAAAGAACGCATTTCAGGAAGTGCATTTGGGAGGCATTGTGGATTTTGTGCAACAGATACTAAAAGCTTTGAGTGCTTGGGATTGTGCCAGGTTATCAATGGTATTTTTCTGTCCATTAAGCTGCTTGCCTTTCTCACATCTATTGTTATATTTTTATTTACATTTTTTAGCTGAAGTAGTTACTCATTTTAAATGGGCAGAATTTTTGTCTTCAGTCTTTATAATTAAATTCTTCTAGAGCAAAATTTCTGAAAACTGTGTATCACTGAGGTCAGAGGCTAAGTGATTGTCTAGACTTACACAGGATTCCATTTTGTATGTTGGCCTGTTCAGATGCATTTATCCCCTAGAAGAATTTACATAGGCAAGCCTTAGCTGGGGAGAATTATTGCGTCCTCCAGCAACTCTTTAAGAAGTAGATATAAAAAGGGTAGCATGTATTCATTTCTTTTGGTCCTTTTGTAGAAAATGACCAGTAATGAACCAAGCTAGCCTTTTGTTATTTACCAGCCACCATGTTTGGTGTTGTTATAGACCATCTCATTAATATACTTCTGTGTTCTATTTTTTTTTT